ATATGCTGCACTGTGTGTGTACATGCTGCACTGTGTGTGTATATGCTGTACTGTGTGTATGCTGCACTGTTGTGTACATGCTGCACTGTGTGTATATGCTGTACTGTGTGTGTACATACTGCACTGTGTGTATATGCTGCACTGTGTGTGTACATGCTGCACTGTGTGTATATGCTGTACTGTGTGTGTATATACTGCACTGTGTGTGTATATGCTGCACTGTGTGCGTATGCCATACTGTGTGTGTATATGCTGCACTGTGTGTGTATATGCTGCACTGTGTGTGTATATGCTGCACTGTGTTTGTGCTGCACTGTGTGTGTATATACTGCACTGTGTGTGTGTGCTGCACTGTGTGTGTGCTGCACTGTGTGTACATGCCGCACTGTGTGTACATGCCGCACTGTGTGTGTACATGCCGCACTGTGTGTGTACATGCCGCACTGTGTGTACATGCCGCACTGTGTGTGTATATGCCGCACTGTGTGTGTATATGCCGCACTGTGTGTACATGCTGCACTGTGTGTGTATATGCTGCACTGTGTGTGTGCTGCACTGTGTGTATGCTGCCTGTGTGCGTGTACATGCTGCACTGTGTGTGTGTGCATGCTGCCTGTGTGCGTGCATGCTGCATTGCATGTGCGTGCATACTGCGTGTGTGGGGGGCAGGTAGCTCATCTCTCCAGTTCACAGGTCCCATCGTACCCAACGAACCACACCTGGGAGCCTTATCTGCACTGAGACTTCTGGATAACAAGATCTTGGACCTCAAGCCTGACCCTGTTGTTATAATGAGATGTTGGGGGGTTGAGGGAGCAATAATGTACTCAAACACAGCAGTGGTTGTGAGGGTGGCACAGGGCCAGTAGTGTTTCATTCTGTTGTACATAGGGTTGCTGTGAGTCTGAACCAACTGACGGTACCGAACAACAGGGAGGAGGTAAGTATATTTGGCACGTGTGAGGACTGTAAGTAAATCTCAGGCCAGAGGGCAGACGGTGGTAGATGAAAGACAGCCACAAATTCTTTGCTACTCCCCACATACATCAAGAGGTGGAGCCCGTGTCTCATCCTGATCCTGGGCTGGCCGTGTCTGGTTTGGATCTACAGAATGAGGGGGAAACGTGGAGCAAGTGCAGCTGCGTGACTTCTTAAGACGCTTTGCAGCTTCTGCTTTTGCTCTCTTGGGATGCTTCCATCGTCATCTGGGGAAGCCCAGGGTGAACTCGGACGTGGAGTGAGACCTGGCGCCCAGGCCTGAGTCAGCGAGGGTGTGCCAGCTGACTGAGTGCAGGAAACCACACAGTGACTGCCCAGTCTATCCAGAGCACATGAGAAATAATACATCACTGTTGAGACAGCAAGTGTTGGTGTGATGTGTTATAAGCCACGGATGCAGGAGCCACGGGACCAGCTGTGGTGCATGTGCAAGGGGGCTGCTGGGCAGAGATTCCTGGGAAGTGTTTTCAAAGAGACAGGCTCCGCTGGCATGCCTCTCTGACCTTCCTCCTCCATCTTCTTCCTCCTGCCACACAGGACATGATGCCTAGTGGAGCAGGGATGCTGATGGCACTGCTGAGCCACCGCCCGGGTTGGGCTGCCTCCTCTAGAGAAAAAGAGCCCCTTCCTCCTGACGCGGGTGAGACCAGCTAGCGTCCTAACTGCTGCTCCATCCAGTCCTAACAGATCCTCCATCTAATGAAGGGGTCATTCTTTTAAATCTCCAGGCACAACTGAAATGTGAAGAACACGTTCAGCCTTCTCAACTAGCATTCCATGAGAAGAGCAAGTCACAGTTTGGGCGACTCTGTCTTAATTCTGCTAAGGACAGTACACAGCTGGCATGATTCTAGATAGGGGAGGCATTAGTTCATTACATCCAGTGGATGGCTTAGGGCCTCTGGCCTGAATTCTCTCCTGGAACTCTCGCTGAAACAGACTTGTTAGATATTAAACACTGGGGGAGTGAAGGTGATTACAGGTTACACTTCTGCTATAATATAATTTCCAACTGCTGACATGACACATGGTTTTAACTTTATCAGTCTCCTCATACGCTGTGCTACATCTGGCTCTGCTCTTTCCGAGAGTGCCCTGGTTTCGTATCGTACCTGCCGAGCTCAGCCACTTCACTGTAGAAGGAGTCGAAGTTGTCCTTCCAGGTCACCATGATCCCATCACTCCCTGGACCTGCAAGAAGACCAGCATCTACTCTGAGCGTGAGGATTCCCAGCTCATGGGCAAACCAAACCAAAGCCATTGCTGTCAAATTGGTTCCGACTGATAGCGACACTATAGGACCCTATACGACCCTATGGGATTTTGAGCTCAGCTTTCTACAGAGCTGCCTGGGTAAGAAGTCTATGGGACCACACTGGCCAGCACGGTGATCACAGGAGGCCATCGGGCATTTGAAGTGTGGCTAGTCTGAAGGAAGATGTACTGTGTGTGTAAAACACACACCAGATGTGGGGACTCAGTATGAAAAAAAAGAATGCAAAATAGCTTGGTAATAAATTTTTTTTTTTTTTAAAAAGGAGCCCTGATGGTGCAAAGGTTAAGCACTCAGCTGCTAAGCAAAAGGTTGGCGGTTTCACTTCACCAGTGGCTCTGCAGGAGAAAGACCTGGCGACCTGCTCCTATAAAGATTACAGCCTAGAACACCCTATGGGGCAGCTCCACTTTGTCACATGGGGTTGCTGTGAATCCGAATCCACTCGACAGCACCCAACAACAAAGGGAGTGAAGACAATAATAGTAACAACAACAATAACAATCGTGGCTTGTAGGAATTAAGAAACACCAGATTAAAAAAAAACTTAAAAAATTTTATAAAATATTGATTTTATGTTGAAATCAAAACACTTTGGCTCTATTGGGATAAACTAAATGTTAATTAACTTAACTAATTTCACCTCTTTTTTTTTAAATGTGATGAGAACAATTTTACCATGACATATGTGGCTTGTGTTTTCTTTCACTTGGACAGACCATCTCCTCCTAGTCACCCAGCCATACTGACTCACAGTGGACAGGTCTGTCAGCTCAATGTCCTCCTTCAGCCACGAGAAACCAAGGCTTACTGGATTAAATTCATTAACATACCCAGGGTTTACAGGGTTAATAAATCATTATAAACTGGAAACATGGACAGCATTTTATTAGACAATGGCCTGTATAATTCAACCACCCGTGACTAATGGATCTAGTAGTACACATAGCAAAGGAAAATCCAGCAATCCTCTCTGCTGTCCTCCTGCAAAAAGCATAATGAAGGCTGAGTCCGTATCACCCCAGCCGGCTGCCTGTCGGCCATGGGGAGCACAGCTCTGGTCTGCTCCCAGGCCTTCCCGGGCCCCTGTGGTCAGGGTCTCACTGACCCAGCCTTCTCTCTCCACCCCGATTTCCTCCTCTGTCCTTTCACCTGCCCTGGGCTACAGCCACGGCAACCATTTGCTCATCTCTACCTGTGGCCTGAAGGAGCCTTGGTGGTGCAGTGGTTAAGTGCTTGGCTGCTAACCAAAAGGTTGTCAGTTCGAACCCACCAGTTGCTCTGTGTTACAAAGATGTGGCAGTCTGCTTCCAGTTCTACTCTGTCCTATAGGGTCGCTATTTGAGTTGGAATCGACTTGATGGTGACTTTTTTTTTTTATACACAACCTGTGAGGGTTCTCACCTCTGCCTGGGTGGCTACCTGGAATGGCATTTCCTTAAACCATGTCCACATGGGAATTCATTTATCGAGGCTCTGTGGGGTGATGTCACCTCCTCCTTGAAGCCCTCCTTGATCCACTCACAGGTGGGAAGTCATCTCCTCCTATAACCAACCATTAGCACCTCTGCTGGGGCGCCCAGCCTCCTGACTAGCAGTGTTACTTGCCTCTATGCATTGTAAACTCCACCAGGTCAGATCCTCCTGGAAACCAGGCCAGCACCCAGCACACACAAGGTGCTAAAGAAGCACTCACTAAAGGACACGTACATGAAGCAATGCCTTCCGTTCAGTCACTTAAACCCAAGGACCCACATGTCTTGGTGGTCTGCTTTGTTAGTGCGGCGGTGGTGAGGCTGTACTAACTCCCGCTGCCTGTACAGCTAACGCTTCGCTACTCACGGCTTCTACCACCTAGTGAGGAATTACAGACGGAGCTCACTTATAAAAATAAAGCTACTTCGCCACTGTGAAACATCAACCAAATCCCACTGAGAAATACTGAGTTTCTGTTAAAGCGGATGAAAAAATCTAGAAACAGACAGTGGTCACGGCTGCACACCATTGTGAACGTAACTGTCACTGAATTGTATACTTAAAAATGGCTGAAATGGCAACTGTTTTATATATTTTGCCACAATAAAAATAAATAAATGGAGTTGTACCTCCATAAAGGTAATACCCCTCCTCTATTTTTTTTTCTCCTTCTGAATGGGTTTGCTTGCTTTTTTTTTAAATGAATGTTTTTATTAGTATTACATACATCCAGAAATGTCAACTACATAGTATTACATACAACCATAAATGTCAACTCCTTAAGCAGCATCAGATTAAGAAATAGAGCACCGCAATGTCCAGAACCTCTCTTGCTTGGCCCACCCAAACCACACCCCCCTTTCTCCCCAGGGGCCACCGCTACCCTGACTAGTGACAGACAGGGCTTTCTTTTTGTGCCGTTCTCTCTGGCACAATTACAAACCCTCGCACACGTCCTCGTGGCCGCAATGTTGACGACTACAGACTCAGGATGGCCTCCTGTGGCCCAGCCTTAAAGAGCAGTGTCCCTGCCCTGACTCAGAGGGAATGCAGCCCAGCCCTTTGCTGCCTAAACGTGTGAGAGGCTCTGGAGGCAGTGGGGGCCAGAGGGAGTAGGCTGGTGGCCCTGGCAGCTGGTGGGACAACCTCCACACAGACAGCACAGGAACCATGTTACTACGTGGCTCACAAACACACCAATAAAAACAAAACAACAAAGCACTGATGACTGCAAATAAAACAGCTTCTCAGGGAGGACAGTATGGAGACGGGGATGTCACCTGGGAGAGGGCCGTGTGACAAGGTGAGATGCTCGTCCTCTGAAGACCGCTGGGGGCAGTAGATGGGTTATGTGACAGAAACAGCACTGCTTCCTCTCCTATTACCTCCCTACTGGTGTCTCCTGGCAGGGGGGTCTCATCTCTCTGACTCCCTAAGTTCTCAGTACTGACTGAAGGTAAAAAGCCACCTGCATAATCTCCGTCGGATCTTTTCAAAATGAGAAAATCAGTGGTTCTGTAATCTCAGATTCAAGGCGATCCAAAATTCAGAATGCTTCAGTGAGGTTACAGTGTGTGAGATAAAGCTTCTGAGAAGGATTCCGTTTCCTGTCTGCAGGCAGGGCGTGCCAGGCCTCTAGTCACCGTATAGTTTAGATTTTCGCAGCTTCTCATGCCCGGGGGGCTGACGGGGTGGGCGCCCTCCACAGCCTTGCCGGGCCTTGTGGGCCTTCCTCAAACTGCAATGAGACACCAATCAAGAGCTGAAAAGAGGCCTCAGATGTGGGCTCTGCCCCGAGTGGCTTACAGTTTAGCTGAGGAGAGCGCGAGGGCCTTAGAGCAGAGAAGTGCAGGTCCCGCAGCACAAGGACAGGGAGGACAAAACGCCCTGGCAGGCTGGCTGTGAGGACCTAGGACACAGGCACAGAGCCTGGCAGGCTGGTGCTCGGCCCACTTTACCTTCCTTTTTATTTCAGTTCTAAATGAGGCCGACTTAGGTTAGATTCTCTTAGACTCAAAGAGTCAACAGGGAAGCCTGGTAACAGATGTGCGAGTATGGTGGGCACAGGAAGCCCTAGGTTCCAACTCAGAGGCTGGCCGCTAGAAGCTCCAATGCCAAGTGGTGGTGGTCAGAGGCCTTCACCGCCCACACCCCCTTCCTCCTTCTCTTCTCCCAGGCCCTGTGAGCAGCGCTGCAGGTCACCTTCCCAGTGACTATGGTCTCAACTTGCAGCTCTCTTCTGGAAGGCCTAGCGAGTGACTTATTGCTACATCTCCGGCCACGTCGAGTGCAGAGACTCAGACTGCTGAGAGATGCCGTCTCGCCCTGGGTAAGTGGGACTCGCCGGCCGCTCAGAGGCCGGCCCTGGATGGAGCAGCTTACCTAGAACCCTCAGGCTGGCTGACGACGAGGCGGCGCCCATGTCGTTCACCGCGATGCACGTGTAGAGGCCGTCGTCCTCCGTGGTCGCGCCGACGATCTTCAGAGCCGCCTCTCCTAAGTCACTGCCACACAGGAGACACGCGGGCGTCAGGAAGGCTCAGCACCCCTGTCGCCAGCCCAACATTTAACCTCCCCCTCAGGGCCACAGGGAACCAGGAGCCCAAGGGCTGAGGAGGGATGTAAGTGGTCCCTGTTGCACACCCAGGAATGAACGTGTTCCCTCACGGGGCAGCCTGAGTGCGAAGGCGACCGAAGAAACAGAGGACACGTTAGTCACAGTGAGGGGAGAGCCTCAGCGGCACACCCCGGCCCCGGGGGCCCCCTTACCTGTAGGAGATGCTGTAGTGACCGTCATTGTTCAAGGTGTTGTGTTCAGGGCCCTTCCAGGTGATGGAGGCCTTGGGGCGGCCACAAACGCGACATCTAAGAACAACGGTCTCCCCTGTCTCACACGTGACCTCACTCAATGGAATGACAAATTCTGGGGGAACTGGAAGGGGAAGGGGCAGGTCAGCGCCAGGTGCCCTGTGCTCCCCTCCCGAGCCCACCGACACTTCCCTGAGAAACCAGTAAGACACGGGGCGCCGCCCAAGCCCAGAGCGCCACAGAAAAACACCCCACGGCTACACATGAGTGTTGGGAGATGCTCCCCAGACCTCTGTCTCCAAGACAGAAGAAAACAGTAACAGAACTCACCATCATAAATGTAGTTGGGATTGAGAAGCTGAAATGGAAAAGCAAACAGGTATCAACCAAAATGAAGAACTATTTTAAGGGGTACTACTTTCAATCCAGGGCTACATACAGTTCTTTTTGAAAGATGAGGACAAATCTAATTTGACCTGTCTGGGTGTTGATCAAGCTAGGCCACGTTTGTTTTCACTGTCTTTAAAAGCCCGTGAAAGCTTCATGTCATCTTAATTTGGGTGAGTTTTTTCCTTCCTACACCCCACCCCCAAACACTGCGGAGCTGGGAAGCCATCCACTCCCTTCCAGGGCTGGGTCAGCTGCTGGAAACAACCCATGCTCTGCCAGGTGCTCGGATTTCCTTTCCTGGCTTTTTTTTTTTTTTTTTTTTTTTGCTTTTCTCCAGGTGAAACCTCCACAGGTATAAGGCAATCTGATCACAGAAAACTAGAAGTTGGATAAGGAATCCTGGTGGTGCAGTGGTTAAGTACTTGGCTGCTAACCAAAAGGTCAGCAGTTTGAACCCAACAACCACTCCACGGGAGAAAGATGTGGCAGTCTGCTTCCATAAAGAAATCCTATGGGGTAGTTCTACTCTGCCCTACAGGGTCGCTAAGAGTCGGAACTGATTCTATGCAACGGGTAGAAACTGTTTACAGCAGCCCCAAGGGGCTCTGTTAAAGCAGTTGAGTCTGCGTCGGTCTCCACATCAGTCACTCCCCTGTGGTCTGAGGCCGGAAGGCGGAGGAAGGAGCCCCAGACACGGTGTTTGCATACTTTCTGTTTCTGGGAACCAAGTCTCCCTGCTTCATGTAGAAACCACACGCCATTCTCTGTAAGACGCAGCACCTGGGGAGCTGTGCACGTGTGTGCCTGGTTCCCTGTAAGACCTCTGCTGAAAAGCACACGTGCACCCACCGGCACAGTCCCACAGAGCCTTCTCAGAAGACCACGCAGAACGATCCTTGGAGGGCGGAGGGGGCGGTGTGGGCGGGGGACAGTCCCAGGGAAGCCCAGGGCCAGCCCTGCGGGGCTTGGCCCCCCTGGGCTCCCCAGCTCAACCTGAGCTTCCTGTGCTCACGGGGGCTCCAGGCCATGCACCCACTCACCTTCACAGATACCTTGTTGCTGAGTCCTTCCCGCGATTTTCGGTAACCGTTCTCCAGCTTGCCTTCCCTTTTGCCGTCTTTATCTTTTTTCTCAGATTTTTTCCTTAAACGGAGTGCTGTGTGCCAAGATGTTGACTTCCTAGAGGGAAAATAATCCATCGTTAGCGCTACGCCTTTCCAGTGTTCAGCCAACGATGCCTGAGGGCATTATAGAAGAACTGAATGTTTAACTCAAGGGCAGAAAGGGTGACTGCAGACCCTTTACCACAGAGATCTCTGCTAAAGAAAACTTTCCTGTGATCCTCAATAACCAGAAGGCGAGACAAGTAAAGAAATTACTTATAAGGATGGAAATTTAAAGGCACCTAAAACTATTTTTGAAGAAACAAAGTATAAAGTGAGATTCTTGAACAATGAGCTAAAAGATTTCTACATATCAAAGAGGGACAGGACGAGGGCGCATCCTAGGAGCAGCAGCGGGCCCAGCCTCCCTGGGATGTCAGCGCCAAGCCTGGGGCTGTGTGGACCAGGGTGGGGGTGCCGGCTGTGGCCTCACAGACCAGAGTGGGGTGCCAGACCCAGCCTGCGCCCAAGCCCAGCCCAGGGCTCGGCCAGGCTCAGTGAGGAAAAACCACAACCAGTGAGTGTGGGCTGATGTTTGTGGCTGAAGCCGTGGAGGCTTCAAAGATCACAAAGGTCTGCCTGCTTCCACCTCAGAACCCCAGGAGGAGGAGCTATCTGGCTTGCCCCCTCCCACAGCAAGCACTTCAGGGAGATTCAGGGAAGGGAGAGGTTTTAAATCCGCACCCAGATTTGACTTAATTTAAAATAATGTTTAATGCAGCAAATTAGTTTCAAGTTTCTTAAATAAATTAACCTTCCAGTATGTATTAGGCTTGACTGTGGCGGTACCCAGGTCTCCACCTGCCATTTACAGGTGGATACCTTCACTGACCTTCCCCTGCAGACTCCTTACTCCCCACCCAAGACCTCCCGGGACTAACTTATGTTAGTGACCTGTACAAGTCATGTGGTACTAAATGCAGGTTATGCAAAGAACCTGCTAGAAAGAGACTGACAGGTGCAGGGACAGCCCTCCTCACTTTGCGGTGACACATCTGATCAGACATGAACTTGTACCAATGAGATGATGGCACTGTTTTCCCTGCCATGCACTTCTGCCCTTCCAGGCTCCTTTGTCTTATTTCAGTAGGAGCCCTGGTGGCACAATGGTTACGTGCTTGGCTGCTACCCGAAAGGTCGGTGGTTCGAACCCACCAGCTGCTCTGTGGGAGAAAGACGTGGCAGTTCTGCTTCCGTAAAGATTTACAGCCTAGGAAACCCTATGGGGATAGTTCTTCTGTCCTATAGGGTCACTATGAGTTGTAGTGGGAGGGCGGGTGGACACTCACTTGAGAGTCCCATCGGGGTTCTCCAGGATGACTGCACTGGTGTGCCCCAGGACGAAGGCCGGAATCCAGCCCTCAGCGGCGGGACACTGGTCGGTAGCGGCTCGGAACACCAAAAACATGTTCTGTTGGTTGCTGGCTAGAATTTGAACGACCTCTCCTTGATAGACGTTTATCTCATCCTCCTTCACTGCCGTGTAATCGTGTGTCACCAACATGGTGGAGATATTGCTACTGCTGCTACTTTCACTCTGTAGAGGGGACGAGGGGACAAAAAGGCAGAGGGGACTGAAGTGAGAGGTGGGTGACACATACTCCCTTGTCACTCTGTACCACTACAGGACCACCTGCAGCAGGCCTACCAGACACTTGTGAGGCAGGTCTAACTGTTCTTTAGACTCCTTTTTGCTAACCTGGTGTATCTTTTTCAATAATTGAAAAAATCAGGATTTCTCTAGGAACAATCTAAAAAAAACCACCTTGGTGATGACACTATTTTTTGAAGCCTGATTATTATCACGGTCTGACCTTTCTCATGCCTTCAAAGCAACAGCTTAACCCTCATGTTGACGCCACGTCAGGTTATACCAAACCCAGACACAGTAATGTGATTGTGATATCATGCTCGTTAAAAAAAAAAAGTGTTATTAAATTTAAAAGCCACTTTGGCTCAGTGATAGATTAAATGATGAAGAAATCACCAAATCTGCCAGATGAAACTTGTCAAGAAAGTATATTCTAGAACCACCCTAAGTCCCTGGCGTGCCTAATCGTCTCTACTTTTTCCCTTCTAAAAGGAAGAATGTGAAATACCTGAAAAGTAAACCCACTACCATTTGGCCTCTATAGAGAGCTGCTCTGCCCCACTTAGCGGTCGTCGCTTGGCGGTCCCTCCTAGGAGCTTGCGTGAGTTGAGGTCCCAAAGTGCTGTTGCCATAGGGACACACAGCAGACAGTGGCTACAGGCGCCACTGTCACCTGCGCCCGACATCTGACAGGCTTCGGGACCAGCCCTTGAGTGGGACGGCCTGCCCCTGATGCTGCAGCCCTAGTAGGCCCGCATCTCCGTATCACTACTGTATCCTTAGTCTCCAGCACAGCGACTGGCATGTAGCAGGCACTCAGTAACTGTCCGCTTAGTCAGTGTGGCAAGATTGCAAGAGCAACATACAGATGATTTCTTAAGGATACAAGCTGAGTGGTGGGAGCAACTGAGTAGAAGCCAGAAACACGAACGCCCGTCGTGTGCCTGGCTCTCATTTCACAAGTGACAGATTTGTTCCAGGGGGGAGGACAGAGCAGAGACCACTGCTCAACACTGAGCTGCATCTTGCCCAAGTCCCCTCTGCCCGCAGCTGGGAGGTAGGGATGGCACCAAGCACCCTGGTCCTGTGAGCTCACACTAAGGACAACGCCCACGTATTCCTGGCTCCAACAACCTGGCCTCTGCTGGGCTCCTGGAGGCCAGGGCAGGGCCTGGCAGCTCAGACCCTATTGTCAGATAACCTGCCACGGTCGCAGTCAGCCCTGGTGCTACCAAGCTGGTGTCAGCACGTGGCTAGAGCCGACAAGGGGGCACAGGAGGGCTGCTCTGTACACAAGCAGACCTTGCAGAAAGGTCTTCTGTCCTGGGAGGCAGAGCCTGGGGAAGCCCACACGCCAGTGCACTGTGACCTTCAGGGACCAGGACAGCAGATCTCTACCCACCCGGGACACTTAAAACATACACAGGAGCTACCCATTTTCCTTCCTTGTCTCTGCTGGGATGTCTCCTAGGTCGCTCCCACCATGTGGAGACCACTGTTGTGTGTGGCCCCTTGGCTCAGAGGACCTCATGCACGCTAGGCTGAAGCCTGTGCCTTCCTTTAGACAGCTGCAGACTTTTTTAGCATGTACTTTATTATTCACACCCATATGGCAATACCCCATAGTTTGGAGATTACAAAGACAAACTTGCTAGAAAATTTAAACAAAAAAACTTCTGTGGCTCAGTTGCTTTGAAAAATACATCACACTAGGCTATGTGTCATAACTTCAGTCCTTTGCCACAATAGTAATAGCTATTTCTGCTTTCTGAACACAACCAATGTGCTGGGCGGTGTACTGGGCATTTAAAATCCACCTCGTTTAACGCTCACAGCCATCGCCCTGCCTGTGGGCATGGTCCTCATGCCCCTACAGAGTGGGTGGGACCCTACAGAGCAGGCGGGCAGTTAGCCAATCTGCCCAGGGCCTCCTGGCCTGCGAGAGCCGGGGCTCGGAGTGACTGGCCAGGGCCTCCTGGCCTGCAAGAGCCGGGGCTCGGAGTGACTGGCCAGGGCCTCCTGGCCTG